TGGAGGAATGGGTTTGGGACTACTATAGGGGACCTTCAGGGACTATCACAGGGATCCATTCCCCCATTCCTTACTAAGAACCAGGGAGTGAGTGAAGTCCCACTGAAGCGGAAACCTTAAACCCCAAACCCCCAAGCAGCCCTGAACCCAAAAATGGCACAGAGTGACATTCTGTTGATGATATACATACATCCTGCATTACCCAGAATAAGGAATGTACATAATTCCCATGTTTAGGGTCCTTAAGGTAATGCAGGATTCATATCATCAACAGCTGTATCTTCGATGAACGCACGGAAGCCACCTCATCTTTTCTGGATGTCTCCTACGAGAGGCTTGCTTCGGGTGTTTACGGCGGCTGCCGGATTGGGGCTCGGGGTTCTAGGGGCTCAGGGTTGAGGGTTCATAGTTCTCAGGCTTTGGGTTCTAGGGTTTAGTTTAGGGTTTAGGGTTCTAGGGTTGAGAGTTTAGGGATGCTAGGGGCTTAAGTCTGAGGATCCCTCACAGTTTTAACCCGACCTTCGATGCAGCTCAATCGTACAGGAACCTGCATCATTAGACAAGGATTCTGGGATGCTGCAGTTACCCTGAGGGTTTGAGTTGAGGGTTCCGGGTACAGTGAGTGCCTGGGACACAAACCCTTAGCCACCAAGGGCTTAGAAAGTGAGATTTCGGGCTTTGGGGTGAAGGGGTTTAGGGTTTAGGGACTGGTCTAGGGCGTAGGGATTGGGGTAAATGTAGGGTGCAAGGTTTGGGTTTAGGGATTGGGGTACGTGTAGGGTACAAGGTTTAGGGTTTAGGGATTGGAGTAAGTGTAGAGTACAAGGTTTAGGGTTCAGGGATTGGGGTAAGTGTAGGGTACAGGGTTTAAGGTTTAGGGATGAAGGTCTTGGATACATGTAGCATGCTGGGTTCAGGATTTAGGGTAAAACTGATGTTCTCCAAATTTTAAGTCCCTGTTAGGGTCCTTTGTATAAGGCTGCCGTACTAAAGCGGTGAGCTAAGATGGGACGCTATTTAGAGAAGGACCGACCCAATGTGGGGTTTAGAGCGTAGAAATCATACTGCTGATGATTTAAATCCTGCATTACCTTAAAGACCCTAACTATGGGAATTATGGCATAATCCTTATTATGGGTAATGCAGGATTTAGACCATCAACCGTAGTTTGGATGGACTGAGGGTTGCAAAGGGGATACTAGTAAGAACGATTCCAAACTCAGAAAACCCTGCAACCTTGCCCGCTGTCCTGGCGAAGGCGGGACCGGTTGGAATACTGCTGGGGCACACATCCATCCCAGCACAGAAGGTGGCGCAGTCGAGGTCCTAGGCCCTTTGACCACTGGGAAGATTAGATCAAGCTTTGAGGCTTCCGCCGAAAGATGATGTTTTATAATTTTTTTGCGCTAAATTAAACTACAACATGTATTATATTTCCTCTTGCAATCCTTTACGGCTCTGGCCTGGCTCTTCTTTCTACCCGATGAGTTTTGCAGAGATGGATGCTGAGGCACGAGTGTCTGCCAGTGGCTAAGTAGACGCCCTCGTTGTGCAAGCTTGAGGTCAGCGATAAGGGCAAGCCATCAACAGCGTCATGCACGCAAGTCCAGAGTTGTTTGGGGTGCTTCTGCTTCACTGCCTTGGGGTGGGGTAACATGAACTTGAGCCCTAAACCCCTAAACCCTAAATCCTAAGCCCGAAACTCCACACCCTAGACTCTTAGACCCTAAACCACAATTTCCGAGCGGGTTTGGGCCGGAGATACTATAAGAGGGTACTACAAGGTTTACTACGAGTATCATGGGATTAGCTACGATGAGACCTATGAGAGGTTTGTGCGAGTTGTGCTATTGCGCTCCGCGATCTTCTAGGCTCCAAGGTGCTCGAGCCCCTGAACCCCAAAACCCTAAACCCTAAGACCCTCAAACCCTAAGCCCTAAACCCAAAGCCCCAAACCCTAAACCCTAAGCCCTAAACCCTAAAACCCCTAAACCCTAAAGCCTAAAACCCCTAAACCCTAACCCCTGAAGCCTGAGCCCTCCTCAAGCCCAAAGACCCCAAACCAAACAGCTCAAGCCCCAAACCCTGAAGCCTGATTAGGGGTTCGGCTCTGCTGCTCTGTGGGTTCTGGGGCTGAATCACGGGATCCTTTATTTAAGGGATCCCCTTTAAGGGATCCTTTAAAGACAATCTAAATCCTAAACCCTGCCTGTAGCCGAAAAGACCTACCTTTTTTAGGGCTCCGTACTATGGTTTCGAAGTATAGTTCTTGAAGAAGGTAGGTCTTTTCGGTTACAGGTAAACCCTAAGACCTGAAACCGAAAACCTTACAAACCCTAAGACCTGAAACCTAAAACCTTAAAAACCCTAAAAAACCCGAGAATCTGGTTTTACGGCCCACCCAAGGCCTTCAGAAGCTGCCCGGACTTTGGGGCGTTTCGTTCTTCCGCTTCGGGTCGGGCTGGGGGAGGGCCGACAGTCTCGGGGAAGCTGGAGCTCGGGGCTTTGGGGTTTCGGAGTTGGGGTGAAGGGCGGTTTTTGCATTTTTTTTCGGTTTTGGGGTCTAGGGTTTAGGGTTTCGAAGTTGGGGTTGAGGGCCTTTTTCTCGGATTTTGGCGGTTTGGGGTTTGGCGTTTCGGATTTATTTACGGTAATTTCATTTGCTGACCCCTCATAGAGGTCCTAGACAGAAGGATCCCTTCAGACAAGGACCTCGAAACAAGGCGCCCCTAGTGTTGAGACTCGAGACCCCCCGTATCGACCGAACCCTGTCAGCGCGACCCAACCGACAGCAGGATTGAAAATCGCAACACATGTAATATACATATATATATATACATATATATATATGTTCCATTATGTTATCTTGTACAATATATACTTGTTATATTGTATTGTACTGTGCTATATCATATTTTTTCTTACATTAAATTGTCTTATATACGCTAACTTATAATCAAACATACAACATGATATATAGAGCTCTGAACATCGCTCGACCATGATGACAACATGTAGACCAATCCCGAGCCATCGATTTCGACTTTTGTCCGTGCCAGACGATCTGTTGTTGGCCGCGACAGGGTTGCGAGAAGCCATGAAGGACTCGAAGTCTTTGATGTCGTGCTCTTCGTACTTGGCCTCCTGCCTGTCGAGATACGCAACCTCAGCCGTCTGCGAGCGGCCCAGACCGCTGTGGGCCCGGGCTTCACTCATAGCCTCGCTGTCTGACAGCTTCTCCCAAGCCATCTTCCCCTCACCCTTTCTCCCTTCGAAGTAGAAGACGTGGAGTGTCTGCCCCTTCGCAATGGCTTTGTCCACGTTGTTCTTCCACTCCTGGTCAAGTGTGAAACTAAACGGTCCTAGGTCCTAGCTTGTCGTCACAACAGAGAGGGATGCTCTTGTACTCAGTGTCGCGGGTGCTCGTTTCGTAAACATACACTTGCAAATAGCAAAGGAACCAACACAACAAAAGAACAGTCAATCTATTCACGAATATAACAACAACTGCTGCTGCCGCTGCTGCTGCTGCTGCTGCTGCGACAGCGACTGCGACCATAAATACATGTGCGGCCTACAACAACTGCTGCTGTTGCTGCTGCTGCTGCTACTACTACTACTACGACGACAACGACGACAACGACTCTACTACTACCATCACTACTACCACTACCACTACGACGACCCCTACCACTACCACTCCCACTACGAGTACTACTACTTCTTCTACTACTACTACTTCTATACCACCACTACTACTTCTGCTACGACGACGACGACCACCACCCACCCCCCTACCCAACTACGCTTGTCAAACCAGGGTTCTGGAAGCTCGATTTTCAAAGGTCGGTGGATATTTGAGGCAGCAAGAAGTGGTAGGACATTACGAAAGTACTTAAATACCGTAGAATGGATGTGCGCTTAAGATGGTGCTAAGCAAGTCCTACTACACTGCCACTGCCACAGACACGACTGACAAACCTCATCACCAGAATCATCATGATCACGACAACAGCGATAAACACCTAAGGGTTCATCTACCCAAATAGTACATACTTTGGCCCCAAAGTACCTACAATAGGGACTACTTTAAGTGCACTGCCAGACTAGTAGATAAGTTGTGTTTGCTACTGGGGCCCGACCTCGGTACACGCAAGCAAGATGCAGAAACCCACCTCGAGGTACGAGATGAGCCACATCGTTATGCAGATGCGGATCATAATCATGCTTCCGATTCTGTGCATGCTATGACGAAGATGACGGCGACGATGGCAACGGCGAAGATTTTCACGCCAGAGAGCTGAACAAATACCAAACTGATGACAGTATCGCGGCTGGCGTCAGTGTTACTTATATGTTCTTTGTCTGCTTACTTTCTGAACCCTGAACCTCCAGCCTTTCTCGCCCAAACATTATACTAAAAAAGTAAAACATGAAAATGAATGTGTCGACCTGTCAATCGATCTATGCATCCATCGCTTTCAAGATATTTATTCGCTGTTGTTTTATGTCCACAGATGGAGCTGTGGAATTTGTTAACATAACCTCGAGAACAACAAACATAATCATCCTCATCATCATAATCATAATCACAAGTATAACTACAACTGCAATCGCAGCCATAACAACAATCGCAAAACGAACCCCAAATCCTAGCCCTCCTAACAAAAGAAGCCTAAACCCTAAACCCTCAAAAAAAGAACCCTAAACCCTTTCTTTAAAAAGTAGCACCAAACCCTACCGAGAAAAAAGAAGACAAGCAAACCCTAAGCCCTAAACCCTAAACCCCCTAAACCCTAAACCCCAGCTGGCCTCGAACCATCGACAGCCCCAAGGAGGACGCCGCTGGTTCGCAACGCACCGAGACTCGGCCTGCACTTCGAAGAAGAAGGGCTCCAAAAAGGGTTTAGGGTTCAGGGCTTAGGGTTTTGGGTTTAGGGTCTAGGTTTTAGGGTCTAGGGTTTAGGGTTTAGGGTTCAGGGTTTAGGGTTTAGGGTTTAGGGTTCAGGGTTTAGGGTTTAGGGTCTAGGCCTCAGGGTTTAGAGTGTAGGGCTTAGGGTTTAGAAGGCTGTTTTTTGTGGCTTCGGGTCTTGAGGGCTTTGGGGTCGAGGGTTGGGCGGATCCGAAAGACTGGGTTCCTGTTAAGGGGTTCAATTTAAGTCACTAAAATAGGGATTTAAGGGCTCCCTTAAGGGATCCTTTAAGGGTTTAGGGTTTAGGTTGCCAGAATAGGGATCTATAGTGAATAAAATGCTTTCCTTATTATGGTAACCTAAACTAAATCCCTTAACAAGAGCCTAGAAAATCTATGAACCCCTAATAGCACCCTATTGAAACCCCTTTGAAAATACCTTGAGAATCCCTTCACAAGAACCCTAAACCCTAAACCCTAAACCCTCCCAAACAAGCTCACCTAGATCCTACCTTCCTCCCACCTTCTCAGGTGCGCTGCTTGTAGGAGGGGGGGGGCTTTCGCGCTCTAGGGTTATAGCTTACATGTTTAGGGGATTTTAGGGCCTTAATTTAAGTTACCAAAATAGGGATTTAAGGGCTCCTTTAAGGGATTTATAAAGGGTTCCTTTAAGGGCTTAGGATTTTAGGAAGTTTAGGGGCTCGGGAAGCGGGGAAGAACACCACCCCAAAGGCCTAAACCCTAAACCCTAAACCCGAAGCCCTTAAACCCTAAACCTTAAAATATACCTAAACCCGAAGCCCTAATCCCCAAA